AAGGCCTTGGCCCTGGGTTCATGTGGTCATATGACTTTGTCAATTTGCAAAGGAAAGATTTTTCAGTTCCTTTTCTGAAGAAGGTTCTCCTGGACCTGTCGTTGTGGCAATGACATTTGTCCCCATCATGTGGCAATGACATTTGTCCCCACCATGTGTGTTACCAGGTAGCAGTGTTAAAGGTCAGTAGATGGTCTTTGTTGATTGCTTTTCTTTGAGAAATTTACACTTATCTCTGAATAGTCAGTCACCGAGTATTGCTAATAACTTTACATGTTTACAAGTACACTTAGTGTTTTGTTGTTGGTATGGGCTATTCAGTGCATCTAACTCCTTGGAAGTCTTTCAGCTATTCTAAAATAATAGCTGAGAAACTAAAATGAAATCCTTAAGGAATTACCTCATTTATACCAATAAAATGTGCAATATCGAGAACAAAACTGTAGCGTGTTTGAAAAAGCCCTGAAAGTTCTTCCTCACTTCTTACAGCGTTGCATGATATATTTTCTATGACGCATGGATAATTGGCACTTGGTATTTTAGGTGAATGGAAAGGCAACATTAACAGTGAACTCTCAACAGGTCCTGGAGCACAGAAACTCACGGAGAGAGAGTTTACCCTTTTTGCATCTCCAGCACCAACCACAGTGCCTGGCATTCAGAAGGTGCCTAAAATACTTTTTAAATAAAGAAAAGAAGAGTGCTGGGAAATCCGTCAGGAACTGTACAGAAAGCTAGCACGGTGGAAGTTACAGGCAGTTCATTACAATACAAAACAATAGCAAGACCCCAGTTGTGATCAGTTACAGAAAATATTGTGGCTCAGAGAAGGCTGACTCTGAGTAAGAGGAGGCTTCCTGTATTAAATGCAATATTATAATGGCCCTTTACCGGGACAATTGAAATTGCCTATCAACATTTTGTGATGACTACTAGATCGAGCAATTAATTAAGGTCACTATATTAATTACGGAGAGAGGGCCAGCACCAATTAAATAGTTAACTATGTCAACATTTCAGAGGTGGCCTATGATCACTGTGATGGCTCTGTAGGACTGTCATGAGGGTGAAGAGTTAGACTCCACTTGTATCCAGAGAGGGGTACGAGTGGTGATATACGGGAATCCAGTATTTCTGTAAGGCTCCCGCAGTTCCCATGGAAGGAGAGAATGTGGATAGACTTTTCCAAACTTTCAAACAACTGACATGCTGCTTCTTTATTCTCTTTTTTTTCCTCTGGAAGCAAATTTATTGAGCATTTAATTTCTACTCCTTTTTCTCCCCTCCCCTTTCCTGCCCTGCCTCCCTTCTTCTCTCCCGATGAAGTAAACATCTGACTTGAACTCAAAATCTCAGCATTTTTGTGATAGCAATTAGCACTTAATTTCAATTTACCTCCTGCACATATGGTGGATGGTTCAGCTGCCAGGATTTCAATGCAGGACTTCTTCAAAATCTGGAAGGAGGGGAAAGCAAAAAGTCAAAACACAGCTTATTTTCTTAAAACAGAAAAGTGGCATTTGTTTTTAGCTCCCAAGACAGGCAAGTTCAAGGACATTACGTGGCTGTGGTTGGGTGAGTCGAGGGTGACATTTTACTGGTATCATTGATGTCAAACATTTAATGATCCAGCACTGTGCTAGATGCTTCTGAGTGTCCCCACAACAAAAGGAATTATTCATTCATTTGGCTTTTTTTTTTTTGGCAGATATTTACTGAGTCAATATGCCAGCCTTCATTATGGAGAGGTTTAATATCTGGTTGGGGAAATGGCACCCCACACTTGAAAAGTTAAGTAACAATCACTATGCGGTAGGTGCCAGGGTTGAAGGGCAAACAGTAGGAGCTACAGAGTTCATGGGGGTGGTCACTGAGGGCTAGTAGATTGGGAAGGGCTTCCTGGAGGAGGTGGATACTGAGGCTAGGACTCGGTCAAGCGGGGAGGAGTAAGTTAGGGGAAGGTTAGGGTCCAGGAAGGGAGTGGCATTTGTAAAGGTGAGAAACTAGAAATACACAGACCACTTTAGCTGGAACAACAGGAGCTTGAAAAGTAGACAAAAGAGTGATGAGAGATAAAGCTGGAGCGGTGGGATGGAGATGGCCAACCCTCCAGAGGAGACGCACGTTCAGATCATCCCGAGCTCCCTCTTTGTTAGAGAAGTGAAAACAGGTCGCGGGAGAGAAAGGGCTTTGCAGGCTGTTTGCTGTGCCTCACCCTTCAGGAGGACCCCCTAAGCCTTATTTAAATGGAAATGTAGTCTTCCCCCCCAGATGAGTCTTGCAGGGTTGAGTGGAGAGTCTAGTGGACCCCATAACTGCACAGAGAATTAATAATGAAGGCTTCTTCTGGGAAAAGCAGAGTATCTGACTGGTGGAGTTTCAGCTTTTCTCCACCCGTGATGAATACCGCCTCTGACTGCATCATGATTCTAAAATTTCGACCAAGCATTTTAAACCAGTATAGGACACTGAGTTAATTTACCAAGCCAAATGCAGTATCTTTATTTGGGCCTGACTTAATTTGGAAGTTGAGAAGGTTCAAAGGGCTGAAGGGAACCATTTGTCTATATATGAAAGGGACATTTGTTAACGGAATTAATAGTGAAGTAAAATGTAAAGTCCGTAAAAGAAAAAGGCATCTTTGAGCATGGGGAAGCACCCATTTGTCTGCATGGATGTATTTATTTGTATTTGCCTCTTTGTTCCAGCTTAAGTGATACACACACTACAAGATGCAATCAACTAAAAGAGACAATCAGTTACAAAAAGGGGAGGAACTGGATCAAAGGGGAAACAAGGGGAAGATGAAGTACAGAGGGAAACTAGCATAGAAAAAAATACACCAAGGAGCTTATTCCCCTGTTAGGCGAGGCCCCTGTATTTGGTTCTCAGCTTTCTGGTAGCAAATGAAGAGGACAGACAATATTTATGAGATTCTTAATCTGAAGAATGAAAACAAACCAGTTTCTCAGAAGAGATAATATTTACCCATTCCAGAGAGAAATCTGGGCGTCCTCGTAGAGAAGCATTGTGAAAGGAAATGAACGATGTGCTTCAGAAAATTGTTCTCTGATGTACAGATGACAAAATATTCAAATGTATTCCTTGTAACAGGCTCCCCCACAACCACGTGTTTTAGGTAACTCTGTATACCTAAGAGCCATAAGAAGCAGCAGGGTCCCCTCTCAGTATGGCGGAAGGATTGGTTCCAGGACCCCTGTGGGTACCGAAATCCAAGGATGCTCAAATCCCTATGCAAAATGACACAGTATTTGCATATAATCTCTGCACATTCTTCTGTATACTTTAAATCATCCCTTGATTATTTATAATACATAATACTATGTAAATGCTAAGTAAATAGTTGCTAGCACATGGTAAATTCAAGTTTTCCTTTTTGGAACTTTCTGGAATTTTTTTCCAAATTTTTTTGATCCCCAGTTGGTTGAATCTGCGGATGTGGAACCCCCAGATCCAGAAGGCCAACTTTCTTTCTTTTCCTTGACAATTCTAAAATTCAGATTTCCAGCTTCTTTTTCTGCCATTCTTTCTGACTTCTTGTACAATTGAAAGGCATTTTTGTACTTTGATTCCTTGATTTGTTTTCAGCTTCCACCTGACTGCACAGCCGGAAGCCATTTGCTCCTTTTCTTCAGTGTTGCCCTTACTTCCTCTCCCTCTGGCTTATCCAGCGCCTCCACCCACCTCAAACGCAGGTGCAGCCTCAGTTTCCGGCTAGTCCCAAGCCTGTTTTGTCTACAGCAGGGAAAGGAGGCACCAAACTCCCCACATCCGTGTCCATCTCTGTTAGAGGCAGTGGTTCTCACCCACCTGGTTCTGGGGACCCGACATTGCCTCTGAGCCCTTCACTGACATTCCGACTTGGGATCAGGGACCTCAGGGATACATCCTAGGCATCCATGTTTCCCTTTCGTCTCTTCTATCCTCCCCTTTCCAATGGTCAGTCTGGTCCGTTAGATGCAGCAGCATCCTAGGACTGGGGCTTGGCAGGATCCTCATTCAGATCCTTGCCAGTGACTCATATCCCAGATAACAACTGTCCCCCCTGAACTGTGATGACAGTCCACCCCCTCCCCACCCCACCAATTTGCTGCCTGAAGGGCCACCTCAGCTAGTCGGCAGCCACCCCCTTCAACATGTCTTCATGCACAAGTCTCCAAACAGGTGACATTGGAAGGGACAGAATTAACCAATATGGAGAAATTTATTTAACAGTGGCATTAGAAGAGCACAAAGCTATTTTTTATGTTTTAAATAAAATTCCTCTTTCTCCTTTTACAAGTCATTTTATCATCCACAACTAACGGTTTCAACAGTCCAAGCATAAAAATTGAGCTACTGGATCTAACCTGTCCTCATCCTGCAAACTCCATCAAAACACAAGTGAAATTTTCACCCGTGTATGTTCCTGACTTTGAACTGATGTTTTTGAACCAACTCTAATACCTAACCAGGGGTCAGTAAAGGAAACACATCTTTGCCCACAAAGACACACTAGCAGGTTTTGTCATAATAAACTCATGCTGTATTATTCTCTCAAAGTGTCTGCAATTAGCTGATAAATCTAAGGAGCGTTAAAAGGGCCAAAAAATATCAGCCAAGTGCTGTGATTCAATCCAGTAAAAACACCGCTTTCCCAATCTTAACTTAAAACATCTGGAAGGAACGCACTGCAGCCAAAAGAGTAAAATTTATCAGTGAGGGGGGATGGGTGAGCTTTGTCTGGGACGGTGGATTCTTTTAGTTAGAAATGTCTGGTTTCAAAAGGTAGGAAGTCACAATGGCACTGGGTGGATTTGGGGGGTTCCCTTGGTTATTAGCAGCCCAGACTTAACAGTAATCAGTCTGTCTGAACTTCAGCAGACTGCAGATCAGCTCAGGGACTGGAGACTGGATGGGGGTGGGGAGGCAGCAAGTCCCTCTCCGACCTGGGCAGTGGTAGCGATGCAGGAGGTGTAGACACAACATTGGGAAATGGTTGAAGGGAAATCACTAGATGGAATGGAAAGAACTCACACAGGGTCGGGGTGATGTCAGAGGTGAGAGTGCGACTGAGGTCTAACGGAGACTGGGTTAAGACGACCACGTGCGTTAAGCATAATCCATTGTGAGGAGCTGGGTCCTGCTCTTGGCCTGGTCCTGTACTTCGCTGACCTATGGTCCCTGGCAAATCCTTTAACTTGTCTGAACCCCAATTTGGGGAAACAGTTTAACATAATCACTAATAGTTTAGAATCTGGAACCAAATTGCTTGGGTCAACTTGCTCATGAGCAATGTGACCTTGCGCAAGTTCCCTAACCTCTCTGAGTCTCTGTTTTCCCATCTGTAATAGTGGGGTAGGAACAATACCCACTGCATAAGGTTATTGAGTTGGGAAGATTAAATGAGATAATACAGGCAAAGTCCATAGCACAGTGCCTGAAATTCCTCACCTAAATGGTAGCTTTTATTCTTACGAACTTGGGCTCTGGAGACAGAAAAAATAGATTTGGGCTCTAAATAGATTTATGTGCATCTCCAAGCCCCACCACTTTCTGGCCATGAGGATTTGGACAAGTTATGCAACTTCTGAATCTCAGCTTCCTTTTCTGGAAAATGAGAATAAGAAAAACACTGACCTCAAAGTGTTGTCTGGTGGTAAAATGAATAATAAATATGAATGCAGAGATATTTAGCTGGTCAAACCAACTGGACATAGCTGGTAAAATTCATATTGGATTAAAGAGCGAGGAAGAGAGAGGGATCAAGGAAGACTGACCAAGTGTTTGTTTTGTAGACAGAACTAGACAGATGTGATTGGTCAATAGACAACTTAACAGTCCAGGGGCCACCAGCCAACAAGTGCCCTCCACGAAAATACGGTACCAAGAAATGTACTCAGAACAACCCTTGCAGTAAAGCACTTAGCAGAGTGACTGACACGTATTTGGTTCTCAAACAATGGTGGCTGTTACTGTTACTTTTATTATCACTGCTACTACTGCTGCTGTTCTTGGGCAAAGCTCATGCATGCTGTTTGTATACGATGCTGCTCCCATCACCCACCGCTGGTCTCTTGCTTAATCCCATTTATTAAAAACTGAAAGACGGCAAATAATATGTTGCTGCTACTTTTTGGATAGATTTCAAAACGAAGAGAAATGTTTGAAATCCATAAAGAACTAGAGAAATGCATGTTGTTACTGGTGGCGATCCTCTCGCACAGCTCATTACGTGGGCGGGGGGAGTAAGAGGGGCAGCAGACGTAGAGCTAAGCCAAGTAATAAGAGCTATTTAATATGTTTCAAGTGAAATCCATTATGGGTCAGTCCAGGTTGTATATATGAGTTTTCCTTTTTTTTCTTTTTTTTTTTATTCTAAAAATCTAAAGGCCTTTTTCATAGTTTCTAAAATAGAATTGTGAATATTTGCGTAGTTATTAAGAATTCCTCCCT